TAAATTCTGCAGTTAGAAGGGATGATGCAGGGAAAGTAAGAAGAAAAAAGTATTGGGACTCCCCTTGATGGTCCAGTAGTTAAGAATCCACCTTCTAATGCAGGGGACTCGGGTTTAATCCCTGACTGAGGAACGAAGTTCCCACATGTGGCGGGGCAAATTAACATTTGAGCCTCAACTGCTGAGCCAGAGTGCCATAAGGAAAGATTCTGCATACCACAACCAAGACCTGATGCAGCCAAATAAATCAATAAGATTACTGTTAAGTATATACCACTTAAAGAAAAACAAGTAGAAAGAAATGTTTCACCAAAAGGGAACAGGATGACCAAGGGGAAGACTGGATGAATGTTTATCATGTATTGAGGGGATTATTAATATTCTAGTATGATTGGATTAATGTCTATACAGATTGAAGAGGAAAGGCAGGGAATAGGGTGGGGTGGGGAGTGGTTGTTCACAGCAGTCAGTGCAAATCAAAGAGTTTGCTCTTTACCAAAAACAGCACTTGCTGAAGGTTTTTGAGCTAAGAACCAAGGGTGACCATAAGTGTTTTGGTGTAGTAACGGTTATGTGAGTACATTCCTTTGTGATTTGTAGAAAGAGCACCTGGTGGCAATGTGAGAATAGAGTAGAGGAAGAAAGGGCTGAAGTAGAAATACAGATACTGAAACTTCCTGTGAGAAATAGGGGAAGCTTGACCTAAGGCAGTGATGGTGGGTGGACTTAATCATCTCCATTTGTTCTTTCTGGTTAACTCCGTTGTTTCAACCTGCTCTCAGCAGGTGTGAGCTGCATTAAGTGGGCTCCTTTGCCCTGTGGCTGCTAGGTGGGATGGGCCAGTGAGTGGCACTGGCAGGAGATGGACATAAGGAGGAAATAGTGACTGGGGCATTTGTCTTTCAGTTCTCTCCCTGCTAGATAACAGGTTGATTACTCCATCCAGGGCTACTGTTTCTGTCCTGGGCCCTCTCCTGCAGCTACAACTTTTGCTGTGTCTTAGTAACCTCTCCCTCCCAGGCTCTTGTAGGCCCTGATTCTCTAATGGCAACCTGTGGTTGGGTGTAAATAGCCTTTTTATGAGTCTATGCTCAATTAATCCCATCTGAGTGGGCTGCTTTGTGCTAGGACCCTGATCTATACAGTGGAGATAGAAAAGAGGCAACTGTGAGACCTGAGGAGGTGGAAGGAAGAGGTCTTGACAACCAACTGGACGTGAATGATGATAAGGAAGGAGTGTTCAGGGACCACCTGGAGGCTTTTGTCTTGGACTAGAGGGAGGATGGAGATGTGATGGGAAGGAGAGACTGGATTCAGTTTGAACACGTTGACTTTGACGCAGCCATGGGAGATGATGGGAAGATGCCTGGTAGAGCTGGAAATGTGAGCCTAGTGTCAAGAAAGAGGTCAGTTGCTGGATTTTGACCTGAGAAAATTCTGAGTAGATTGGTAGCTGAAGTCATTGGAACTGGTGGGCTTTCTGAGAAGAGAATGAAAAAAAGATTTATGACTAAATTTCTGCAGTGTTGAGGAGTGAGAGGGAGATGAAGCTGAGAGAGACCTGTGCAGACTCCTGATAAGTGAGTGCCATCACAAATAGGCAGGAACATGCCCCGAAGCGACTGAGATTTCATTAGGGGAGACTGGATGCCGATAGGGACAGGGTTCTGCTCAGCATTAGCCCAGAGACAGCCAAACAGTGGAGTCTCCTGGGCAGATGTGGGAGGTGAATGAGGGCGATGGGCCCACAGGAGGGCCCCACCAACCACCAAGGGACCTGAGAAAAGGGGGCAGAAGTCAAACATAGTTTACTTTCTGGGAGTGCGTGCTTGCAAGAAAGTGTTAGTTGTTCTGTTGTGTCTGACTCTTTGCGATCCCATGGACTATAGCCCCCCAGGCTCCTCTGTCCATGGGGATTCTCCAGGCAAGAATACTGGAACGGGTTGCTATTTCTTTCTCCAGGGGATCTTCCCGAGCCAGGGATCGAACCCATATCTCTTATGTCTCCTGCATTGGCAGGCGGGTTCTTTACCACTAGCACCACCTGGGAAGGCCTTACTTTCTGGGCCGTGTTTCAAATCTTTACTGCTTTGATTATCTGGGTCAAATACAGAGGCTTTATTAACTTGAAGTCCTGTCACTTTAAATATGGTCTCATATAGTTCCAGAGAAAAGCCCCAAGTTCAGTGAAAGGAATAAATGACAACAGGAAATAGCCCTATTTATATGGAAAAACTTCAAGGGGAGCAGAGTGCTGGCCCCATGTTATAAATGAAGAAGATAGCTAAAGGAGGCAAGTGTAATCCTGGTTTTGGCTGACATTTGGAATTACCCTTGGTCTTCTCTGTATAGTAAAGGGCAAAGCACATCACTTCTGAATTTTAGTGCTAGCTACAAGGAGGGAGAGGTGCACAGTTCCTCCAGAGTAAGATTCTTAACCTTTGTAGTCTGGTTACAGATCCTCATTGAAGAGTTGAAGAAATAGTGGACACCTTCCTCAGAAAAACGTATGCTAACATCCTCACACACCCACCCATGCAATATCACATGTGATTATAGGGGTCCTAGAAGGGACCTGTCGTGTTAATCTCTCCCCCTTCCCATGCCACATACAAAGTAGGTGCTCACTAAGCATTTATTAAGCTATTGAGTATATAAATGTGTGAGGCATTATACTTAGTTTATAAAATCACGGGTCAGAATGAAATATCTTAGGCAGGAGTAGTTAAGGTTTTAGCACCTGTTCATATGAATTCATTTATCATAGCGATTTTCAACTCTAGCTGGGCATTACCATCTCCTAGAGGAAGGGAAAATGTTACAAAAATACTAACACCTGGGTTGCACCCCGGAATAATTGACTGAAAATAGGTGTGGGGTTTGAGAATCAGTATTGCTTAAAAGCTCTTCAGTTGATTCTAATGTGCAGACAGGATTAAAATCAATGTAGCAGGTTAAAAGCCACATCATTTAGTAGACAGAAAGATTATATAGATAGTATGTTAATTAAGCTTTCATAAAGGAAATTTGGGACCATAATAAAAACTATAATCTCTTCCAATTACATAGAATATTATATATCACTGTCATGCACACTATCTCATTCATACCCCAAAGATACACCAATAGTTAAGCCAAGCAGGCATCAGTGACTTTTCTCAGAACAAATCCGGTTCTGTTAATGCAAACTCAGATCCTCTGAGCTGAGCACATTTTTCTTTGATTTTGCCTCTTGGAGGATAAAAACAGGGGTTCCCACCCACAAAGAGCCCAACTCATTAGATCTGGAGTGGGGTCTGGGAATTTGTCATCTTACAAGCACTGCTGATTCAATTGCAAGCCTGTGTCCCAAAAAGTAGCTCTAAACTGTGGGTGCAGTGGAAGAAGGTGGAGCAGAGGAGGCATACAGGTAAGAATTACTTGGGGAGATTTTTTTCAAATGCACATACAGGAGCCCCATCCTAGATCTATGGATTCAGAGAACAGCAGTGATGAGAGTGAAGATACAGAAAATGCTTGATTCTGATACCACTGTCACCCCAGCTGAGAACCAACACACATGGGATGCTTCTTGATTGCCCAGCCATATTGCCCTGAGGCTACTGCTGCAATGGAGACCCCTGACCAGAGGACTAGGTGCTGGGTAGGAACTGGCATGGTGCGGCAAGGCAGCTGATTAAATACTGAAAGTATGTAGGAGGGTGCTAAGGGCAGGTGGGGATGACAAAAACAAGCTTTGTTCATTTCAGAGTTTTGTCAGGGCTGGCCCTGCTACAGAGTAACTGAAGGCAAGCTTGCAAGAACAAAAACAGAGTAGTTTCCAAATCACTTCTATTTCCCCTTGATCTCAGGCACACATGTCAACTCTGAAAGTGCCAGGTGCCCTTCTCTGCCATGTGTGGCACGTGAAAACACCTAAGTGAAACCACTGTCGGAGCGCATAGAATCAGGGGGATGCTGACTGCAGTTCAGCAAGGGTCCCTTTATAGGGCTGATGGAAATAAACCGTGGGGATGTCTACATCAGGCATCAAAAGACAGAATGGGCTGGCAGGTTGGTTCAAAGGATGCATAGTACTGCTCTCAAGGACAGAACAGATAACTCTTAGTTAATCAATCCCTTTGAATGATTTCCCTAGACAACACCTCAACAAAAGTTACTGATGGTCATTCTTTCACCTTAGTCTCAGTTCTCCTCTCTTTGGGCCATAGATTTCTGATTTCTCTGGTCATGTGTACTGATACAGACTCCCTTTGGGGATAGCGAGGTAGGGTGTCATGAGCCGCTGTTTTCAGGGTTCAGAGTAGAACTCAGGGTCGCCTGGAATTACTCTGCTTCAGAGGATTTAGAAGGAAGAAGAGACTCATGGTCCAAAAGACTCTGAAGGGACTTCCTAGTAGTTCTTTGAAGAATTATCATGGAACACAGTGAGCCCTCAGCAAGCACTGCTGGAAGAGAGTGAGGTATGTATATATGTGTATGTGTGTGTGTGTAACAGCTAAGGTGGGCTCTGCCTGATATTCTGTAACTCCTCACCCTCTTTACCTTGGCAGGATTTCTTCTCAGCAACTAATGTACCCAAATACTCCAACGTGATGTCTGCTGTTGCCCCTCTGGATATGGATGGAGGGAGGAGGGCAGCATGCATATATCTTGCTTGCTCTGTCATACACATAAGTGAAGTGAAGTGAAAGTCACTCAGTCGTGTCCAACTCATTGCAACCCCATGGACGATATAGTCCATGGAATTCTCCAGGCCAGAATACTGGAGTGGGTAGCCTTTCCTTTCTCCAGGGGATCTTCCCAACCCAGGGATCAAACCCAGGTCTCCCGCATTGCAGGCAGATCCTTTACCAGCTGAGCCGCAAGGGAAGTCCCATCATGTATATAAAGCCCACATCAATGCTGGGACTGTGCCTTACAGGTCTGACTTGCTCAGAACTGTTAACACTGCTTCACACCATTTACACTTGAGACAAGCGCACTGGCTAATTTCTCACCTGGACTGCCCAGTGGAGAGCTGTTTTGAAGTCTTTGTCCACAAGGGTGGGGTCTGCCCCCTTCTTCAGCAGCATTTGGGTGTGTTGAGGCCGGTTGTGGAAAGCTGCCCAGTGGAGTGCTGTCATCCCCTGCAAAACCACAGTCAGAGGGACCGAGATGAGCACAGGCTATTAGGAAGGAGAGCGGAGTACACACTTTCTCCCCAGGCCCGAAGGCATCACCAGATGCATTGGTTGCTGACTGTCAGTTCACTTGTTCCTTGAATCATTCATTCAATGGTTACTCCTTGGCTTCCTACCTGATGCCAGGCAAACAGATGTCAAGGATACGATAGGGAATAAGATCAAAGAGATCCATGTCCTCGTGGGAACTCCACTGTGGTAGAGGAAGATAATAAATGCACACAAGCAAGCCAAAGGATTTTCAGGACTGCTGAATGCTAAAAAGAATGCACCTGGGGTGCCATGACAGCGTAACCACCCCGGAGGTAGGGACTGTTCTACATGGGCCTCTGGGAGCCGAGGTAACCTGAAGGTAGAGACCAGCGAGCAACAAGTCACAGAGGCAGACACTTGTGATCAGAGTATGCTGGGATGCCATCTCCCACCACCAGACCAGAGCACTGTCTCTTTACTAAAGTATCCCCAGGCTAGATGAAAAACAGTTGAATGACTGAATGAATGAATGAAGAGGGAGAGGAGGAGAGCCATGCGAGATGCAGTTGGAGAAAGAGGCAGGGCTGATCCTTGGAGCGTGGGATGGGGAATACCATGTATAAACCATTTGGATTTTATTCTGAAGTCAGTAGAAAGACAGTGAAGGATTTTAAGCAGGTGTTGACATGACCTGATTTACACTGTTTAGAAGAGATCACTTGGTGGCAGCCTGGAAATCAGATCTGGATGAGCCAGTCTGGTGAATTCCACCTTCTCTCCTAGCTTAAGGTCACATGTTAGGTACGGTTTCATAATAAAATGAACTTCTGCTGGTAAACATTTGCCAAAAAGAACCAGTAGTATTTGAGAGTGGACTATGAAAAGATGGCCTCTTCTCCTTGCATATAGCTCACAATTACATGAAATATATCTAAAATGATTCTAGATTAAGATGCCTGGTAAGGGGAGTGAAGGAAGTGGACAGCTTTCTCTTTTTGCAGTTGTCTCTGCATATAAGACAGTGTTACCACCTTGGCCTTCTCTGCTCATCCAAGATGAGCTGAGTGCAGGAGATGGGCTGCAGCCTAGCTAGGAGGGCAGAGCTATTATTATTCCAGATAATACATTAATCATATTCCAGATAATACATCCCCTGGAGAATTGAATGGCAACCCACTCCAGTATTCTTGCCTGGAGAATCCCATGGACAGAGGAGCCTGGCAGGTCCATGGGGTCAGAAAGAGTCGGACATGGCTGAGTGACTGACAGACACACAGATAATACATGGATATGTATTGATCTAGAGAGCTTTATGAGTTCTTCTGTATATTATCTCAATCCTCCAAATAACCTTTTGGATTAAATATTGTGGTGAAGTCTGTGGTGCTCACCAAATTCTATCTCCTCTTCCTCCAGGGCACATACTGAGTCTACATCCCCCAGTTTCCTTGCAGATAGGTGTGGCCACGAGATTGATTCCTGACCATTGCTGTGTGAGTAGAAAGAACGGAAGAATGGAAGCCCCCACTCCTCTAAGGCCTGCCTTGAAAATAAAAACTGTGTAGTCTTTATATATTTTCTCTTTCCTCACCTGACAACTGAATAGAGGGGAGGATAAGTCTCAAGAAGATGCTGGAATCGTGTGATTAAAAAGTCCAGGACCCTGGTTGATGAAACAGGACAGGGTCAGCTCATCAACCAGCAATGAACAATGAAGCAAGCAGGAAAAAGCTTTTATTATGTCAGGCACTGAGGTTTTGAGTTTTTGCTATAGCAGTTGGTCAGCTCTGAAAGGTGTCGCTGTCCTTCCCATTTTATGGAGGAAGTTGAGTTCTAAGGAAGTTCTCAAGCCTGTGACTGAGCACAAAACTGAAGTTAGGGTTTGAGGTTTGCGGCGCAGTGGGATTAGAATGTAAGTCCCCTTGACCAGTTCCACATTCTAAATCATTTAATTATGGTCTGCTTTCAAGTTTCAAGTGTCATATAACACTGAGCCTCCAGATACTCTTGAAGACATTTCAAGAAATTGGTTCCATATGGAAAATAATGACCGTCTAACAACAGTGGAACTTCTTGTTCTTATTCCTGCAGCTGAATATTTACTTGAGGTTCAGAATAGCTCAAAGCATTTCAGTGGGTCCTCTTTAATTTAATTTGGCCCACTGGAATTAGAAATCTGGACTCCAGGGAATCAGATTCTTTTTATTCTGCAGTGATTACCCCTTTCCCAGAGCTGAGTACCATTTGCTTTAGAATCATTGGCTTCATTATGAAGTGCCACCAGCCCCAGGACTACAGACATCAGAGACAATTCTGAGTTACTGGAGTATAAGCTCATGAAGGCAGGGCCTTTTTCCGCCCGAGTCTCTGGAACCTAGAACAGTGCCAGTCACATTGTGAATGCTAAGCAAAAGCTTGTTAAATGGATGAGTGACTTTTTATGCTTCTGGATGGAATTTTTTGCTTTTGTAAAATTTGGCTTTGCTTTCTAAAACCATTCACACAAGAAAGACAGAACATGACTTCTTTATAGAAAATGAACTTGTCTGCTATGATCATTGTTATCAACTGTTCAGTTGAAACCTGTTGAAACCGGTTAGAATTCTTGATGAGTCCTCCAAATGAGGTAAATGGCAATCACTGTATGCAGAGAGATTGATTTAGCCAGGTGAGAATTCAGCATGAAATTGTGAATTAATTTAATTCTTGTTAGGACACTGTTAATCCTTGTCTCCTAAACAGTTTCTAGGCTTTAGGAGTTTTTCTCTTAAAGCAACCACCACTCCTCCTTAACTCCCTGTTGAAAAACCAAACAACAACAACAAAAATGAAAACAAAAAAACCTCAGCTCATGCATGTTTTGATAAACAGTGCGAAGGGCCACTACTATTTTTCATATACCTACTTGGTGCCAAGAACTTCATTCACTTCATTGAATCTTTACAACAATCCTGAGAGATAGGTATTTTTAGACTCATTTTACAGGTGAGGAAACTGAAACACAAGTTAAATGATTTCCCTAAGGTCACTGACTGGGTATAAGACAAGTTGGGATTCAAATTGGGGTCCCTCCCACTCTGGAGGAAATTGTTTATTCCACACATCAAGCTATAAGATTTCATTTTGGAAATGAGTTCAGATACTGGAAAATGTTTTTCTTTGTGATTTTAGCTGGATTTGGGATCTTCTCACTTTCTAGACTGGTGATTCTCAAGCATAATGGTTGCCACCCTGTATTATTATTTGTTTCATTTGGCATCACTTCTAGTTTTCTTCTGAAAGTGCAGCTGGCAAATATTTAGTTTAGTAAGCTATTGAAATATATATATAATCCCTCCCACCCATCCTCTACCTTGAAATTTGGGATCAGTGTTATAAATCACTGTTGATCTTCTGAGTGGCCCCAAATCAAGACTTGAATTACTCAATTAGTCTCTAAATAATAATACATTATAATATATAATATAGATATGTTGTATATTTATATTACAATACAAACAGGCTTCAAACATTCAGTCAAGTCAAGAGAAATTTCCTGTTGCTATTTTTTTCAGTTGGGCTAATGAGAAATAAAAATACACCCTCTTAGAGTTAGTAATATGAAAACCAAAACTTTCAAAATCAGCTCAAATGCAACTCTTTGTATTGCACAACACACTTTGTTCAGGAACTGTTTCCTACAACTGCGTCCTCCTTCTTTCAGCTTCTTTAACACTGCTAGCACATCGTAGTTGTGTTATGTTAAGACTGGTGGCCATTTAAGGGGCAGACTTCCAGTTTGGCAATTGGCGTCCGTCCTGAGCTGCGATAAGAATTAAGATTAAGCTGTGATGCACTTTAATGGCAGAAGCTGTAGCATATTCACTATGGTATGCCCAAGCACATGGTATGTATTTGAGAAATGTTTGCAGCAAGAGTTAATCAGTGAATCACAGATTATCCAGGTTCCCTTGGATTCACAGGGAATATAAAACACCAGAGTCTGTTGAATGAAAGCCAGCCACCTGTGTCTAAACTGTGATGCCCCTCATTGAGGACCTAACTGGGCCTTCAAAGAATCTGAGAGCTAAAAATCTAGGAGTCTCTGGAAGATATATTGCAACACACACCCAGATGGTCCTGGTGACAGTAGAATTCTACTTCTTTGAAAAAGAGGGTATGTTGGCTCTGAGTGTAGAGTAACTCACACTCATTTAAGAACATAGCTCTCTAGAAAGTTTTGGAGGGAGAGGTTAAGTTTGGTTGACTTAGGAGCCATTTCGAGATTGTTGATAGAAACAGCTGTGTGTGATAGCTGTTGTGTGCATGGCAAGCTGGCTTTGGAACACACTCTGGTGCACATGAGTAATTCTGTGCCTTGAGCCTGTGCCACCAACATTTCAGTTAAGGGCTTTCAAGTCCTATTGTCTTCTCAGAACTTTTTTCTTTTTCTCCAAAACCACTGTAACTTTTGTGCTTTATGAAGCAGAAATCTGATTCAGTGTTTAGTAGTTTTCTGTTTCAGAACTGCACTTTTAGACCAGCTCTTGCAGATGCTGAAAGGCATAGAGAGAAACGTGTGATGTGGCTGGGTGCTTTGGTTCATCCCGCATCTTGGTGCACCGGGGGATAGAATTCTAGCAGGTGTATGCAAGATCAGCAAAACAATTCTAGGTCATTTGAAGGATCTAGAAGTTCACAAAAGTCCAATTTGGCTCTCTTTGACATTTTTATATTCACATATTATTAATTTTGTGACTACCGCTCACAAAAGTTACAGAGGGCCTTCCGTGTACAAAAACTAGAATAAAGGATATAATTTAAAAGAGTCTAAAAGAACTTCTAAAACAAGATAAGAAATTCAGTAGTGAAAGCCATTTTCTTCAAATTTATGTGGGTAAAAACTTACAATTATAGATCACTAAGGGTAGTAAGGCATTAGCAAAAAGAGCTTGCATGTAAATATTGCAAATTTGTTCTTTAAAATATTTTGGTATCTGTTTTTCAATATAATTTTTTGTAATGCTATGTATTTTATATTACGTAACTTCAAACATTTTTCTAAGAAGGGATCCACAGCCTTCTCCAGTATACCAGATGTGTCCATGTCATGAAAATGGACAAGGACTCCTGCCCTAAAAGCTACAATACATTTTTGAAGCTCTCAAATGATATAAAATCTTATTTTTTTGAGAGTATATTTGGAAATAATTAAAAGTCACAGGGAGTCAAATCTGGTAAATAAAATGAGTCATTCATGGGTTGGGTCAACACAACAAAGAGGGGAAGGACAATAAAATAAAATCATATGCCTTTTTCTTGAATTTAATAAGTTAATTCTTTATCTAAATATATATTTTAGGGAGACTCTACTATGTGTAAGTTACTGAATTAGATTCTAGGGATATAAAGATAAAAAATACATGGTCTGCCTCTAGGACCTAACGGCGAAGGAGGGTCTGAGGAGAGAGGGAAGTGAGAGTCCTGAGTAGCACTGACTCAATTTGTTAAGGTGTTCATTTTTAGAATACAAATTCTGGTGCATTAAATTTTTTTGACTTTATTATTTTACCTTCTGCCAGCTGTAGAGCAAAAAGATTTCTAAAGTCAGGGACTGTTTCTATTGATTTTGCCTTTTTTAATGCACAGTCCCTGCTTGTGCTGTATCCTGGGAATGTTGTAAGTAGATTTTACTGCTAAGAATTATATCCGAAGATTCACGTCTGTTTTTGCAACTTGGATTTATTTTCTGTGAGTGCTGTTGTAATGGAAGTTTGAATTGTCAGGCCACTCACAAAAATCTACTTATATCAGAATGTACATTAATATAGGACCAACTATCTATTTTAAATACCATGCATAACAGTGCTTTTCTGGATAAATGCATTCAAAATTCTAATGCAGATGCCAATATTTTATAGTCCTTCTTCATGGGGTGCTCTTCCTGTCAGAGCTAAAACGAAAGCAGGAGAGTTAGATTCCAGGAATTTAGCAACTTAATTCTCTGTGGCTGCAATAGACAAGCCCCTCTCTTTGTCAGAGATTCCCCTGAGGTCCCAAAGAACAAAGACACAAAGGACAATCTGACCATCTGACCCATGGTGACTTTCCCACAGTGTTAAATCCTGCAGTGTGGATAGCTTCCAAACAAGTCACTTTATAATTAAGCAGTGTGGTTAATGAAGCAAGAAAAACAAATAGATCATTGGAATGAGAACTCAGAAATGAAACCACATATTAAAAAAAAAAAATCTTGTAACAAACTAAAAGAAAATTTAGCATGATGTAGTTATGTCCCTAGGGGTAGGAAAGGCCTTTAAAAAGGATACCTAAAACAAAACAATAATGGATGAGAATGATCATCTTGCTTATATCATATTTTAAAATTTCTGTAGAGGAAAAGACATCACAAACAGTTCTAAAATAAAGAATAGACTATGAAAAAACATTTGCAATTCAATAGCAGACAAAGGATTGGTCAGAATATAAAATAAACTCCTATAGGAACTTCCTTGGCAGTCCAAAGGTTAAGACTCTGTGTTTCCACTGCAGAGGATACAGGTTTGATCCCTAGTCGGGAAACTAAGATCCTGAAAACCATGTCACGTGGTCAAAAAAAAAAAACACCTCCTATGAATATGTAAGAAAAGGTGAATGGACAAAGGATCTAAATAAATAGGCAATTCACAGAAGATCTAAAAATGAGCACTGTACCTATGAAGTTATGCTCATTTTCACTGGTTATTAGGGAAATGCAAATTAAAACAATAATAAGAAAATCCAACAACAGGAAAACAGTGATAAGCACGTTTTACACTATGAGTGGAGCTATAAATTGATGCAGTTGTTTTGAAGAACAACCACGCATGCATACTAAAAATTAAAATAGGGAACCCTTGTACACTGTTGGTGGGAATGTAAATTGGTGCAGCTACTACAGAAAACAGTATGGAGGGTCCTTAAAAAACTAATAATAGAACTACCATATGATCCAGTAGTTCCATTCCTGGGTATATATATCCAGAAAAAATGAAAACACTTATTTGAAATGACACATGCACCCCAATGTTCATAGCAGCATTTTTTTACAATAGCCAAGACACGGAAGCAACTGAGTTCCCATCAATAGATGACTGGATTAAGAAGATGTGGTAATACATACAAAAGATTGAGAGAGTATATATATACATACTATATATATACACAAAAGAACAATTACCTGCGGGCTAAGGTGGTAGGGTAGAAGCAATCAAGGACTTCTAGTATTATTTGTAATATTTAACTTTTTAAGAAGCAAATGTGTTCATGTATTACTTATTCAAGTAAAAACTAATAGTACAAAAAATGTTTCAAGTTACTGAGCTCAGAACAGGATAGCCTCTAGAGTGATAGTCATCTCTGATATAAAGTGGTACATATTACGTTTTGTTTTACATGAGCAATTAGAGGATGGCTGCAGAAAACAATTTTTTTTCTTCTTCTCTCCCTCTCTCCATTCTTTAGTTTCAGTTAACAATCTGTCTCAATTAAGCTAGATTTCTGTTAATCATTTAATCTTTAAGCATCATTGTGACAAGCTTGGGAGCCCTTTAGTTATTCTTGGAAAATAATTTTATTCAAACTCCGTAGGGGATATGTCTTGCTCTTCCCTCTTGTCATCAGGAAGCCGTAATGCTTCGCCAGCACTAGCTTACCTTTTCCCTGATTTCTTTTGCCTTGCTGTTTTGCTTCCTGTTATTTAACAGATGTAGGGTGTGTGTGTTTTAACTGTTACTCCTTCATATATAATGGAGACTGTACTTGGAACTCATTGGAAAAGTGATTATGGGGTTGGGGTGGGGGTGGGGCCAAAGGTGATTGCTTATTCAGAACACTGAGAAGCCAAATCCAGGAACTCTACCAAGGTAATAAATGGAAAGGAAAGCCTGGGCTGTGTTCTTTCCATTTCAGAGCTATCCTTATTTCCCAATGGCAAAGAACAAATTAGCCCTTGCAAATTTATATGGATTGGCTCACACCAGCAATATATATGGGCTTCCCTGGTGGCTCAGATAATAAAGAATCTGCCTGCAATGCTGGAGACCCACATTTGATCCCTGGGTTGGGAAGATCCCCTGGAGAAGGGAGTGGCAACCCACTCCAGTACTCTTGCCTGGAGAATTCCATAGACAGCAGAGCCTGGAAGGCTACAGTCCATGGGGCCATAAACAGTCAGACATGACTGAGCGACTAACACGCACACACAACATATATATGAAAGAAAAACACAGGCAAGCATTAGTAGTTGGATTCAGATGGATTTCAGACATGCTGTGATATGGTGTAAAGAGGAAGCTATGACACTGAAGGCAAGGGTCCTTGTTGAGGCATCTGCTCAAAAAAGCCAATAGGTCCAATGCTGGTTAAGACCAAGAGGAGTCTTGTCTGAGAGGTTGCTTTGCACAAAAAGGAACTACAGACTTTTCTAATATTAACCACATATTGTCTGAAAAATGTTAAAACTACCACTGTTAGAAAGATCTCTGACTGCTTTCATTCTCACCACCAGCCAGGGGCCTCCCAGGGTGGGGAAAAATAGGGAACTGTCACTTTGCTAGGGGATGTTCGGCTCCACTGAGTTGGGGACAGAGTTGGATGTCTGTAGGAGAAATTTAACTTTAGGGTGTAAATGACTGAATTTGCCCCCTTTTATTTAATAAGTCCCAGTGTGGGTTGAGGGTGAAGGAAAAAGCTGAAGGTGTAAGAAGTGGTTGGCAAGTTGCCCAAAGTCTAGAAGTTCTTAATCAGCTGACACAGACTGCAAGCCCCCAGGCTCCCTGCTTTCACACGAAGGGCACTTTCTCATCTCTGGTTCTCGTTTTTAAAGCAGAAGTTTAAAACAGTGCAATATTCTCTCACATGGGGTTTTGCTTTAAACGACTGAAGACGAGGGGTAGGTGAAAGCAGCTTGTGACCACCGAGTCAGAGAGGTGTCTGACCTTAGAGCCAGACTGTGAAGTAGGGACTTTTTGATGTGGTCATTAATGCCAAGCCAGTTGGAAGGAGGCCTTTGATCCAAAGGCTCAAGGAAGACGAGATGTGAGCCCGAGAGAAATATGGAGTAGGGGCCCAGCCCCTGTTAAGGGCTTCCTCCCACTCTGTCTTTGGCCAGTCGGCCTCCTTGAAATAAGAGTTATTTTACATCTTGAGGCATATACATTTTCAATACTATCGGGCCTTCTTAAAATTATCTGACATTCTTAGTGAAGTCAAGTTAAGTTTACATTTAAAAAATTCCATTAAGGATCAGGTATTTAAATCTGTTTTAAGAAGCTGGTTGAAGAAATTAGCCTGGCTAATAAAAACCAGACTTGGTTTTTTAAAAAGAGTTAAATAGATACAAGCCCCTCAGTGGCTCTGGGGCAGCTCTGCCTGGTTTGATCCACCCTCCCTCAGGAACTTTGTTGAGAGTGTTGCTCTGTCTTCTTGGACACCTGGCACAGGCATGCCTTGCAAGGTAAAGGCAACAGCAGTTGTGATCATTGGCATTAATAGTGTGGCCTCTGGAGCAGGGAGCCTAGAATTACTATCTGTCTGTCGTCTTCCACTCAAAGAAAGAGCATCAGCAGCCATCGAAATTTTTGGTTCTCGAGAAGACAGGAAAGAGCAATATTTATTTCCCAATGTCCAAAGGGAAATTACAAAATCTCAGTGGTAGATAAATGCTTAAATACTTAATGCAATAAATCCTACCCGATTAAAAGCTATCCACAGCCACAGTGGGATAAATTTCTGCCTGAGAATTAATAATAGAGACACAGGCTTCCCTCTCAGGGTAGGAACACAAAACTGCTCCATCCCTTCCTTGCATCTTTAAGAGAGGAAGCTCTGTGGTTCAGAAAACCCTTTTTCCTACTCTAACCTGCATAATGTCCAACCATTCCTTGTGAGGGCAGGCTCACCTCATTGTCCTGGTGATTAATCTCGTTGAGGTTTGACTGTTGCACCAGGACTGTAAGGAGCCTGTAAAGAAAAACAGGAGAAGTAGCTTTAAAGAATAGAACCTGTATGAGAACATGACATTAGAAATACAGTCTGCTGAAGGCCTCCAAATGACCAGATGCCCTTTGCATTTACTAGGGGAGAGATCTATGGGAAAGAAGCCAGGATGATAGGTAAGAAGGCCCAGGAAGGCAGGTAGGAGGAAGACCTCTGTCTCTTCTCTCCCTCCTCCCTATCTTAGTGCTTTTGAAGGGTGAAAGGGAATGCAGAAAGCAAAACCTTAGGCTTATTTTATTCACCAGACCTGTATCCCTTTGTGTTCACTCTAAGAGGCAAAGTTCTCCACTGCTTATTCTTTATTCATTTTGCATAAACTTTGAGTGCTTTCAAATTGCTTCACTACTTGGAACATGTGTCATACCTTCTAAATGTACAGGTTATACTCAGCATTTACAATTTTGCTTATTCTTTCTAAAACACAAAATATTTCTGCATGCAGTCGCAGTTATCAGTGTGAAACAACAGCTGATGATTCCTAAGTTCAAGTTCTTATCTCACTTGGGCCACATACTTGGTTGACTGAGGTCAACACTCCATCTGTGGGAGAGAAGCAATTGAGTTTAGGAGCCCAGACTCTGGAGCCAGACTGCCTGGGTTCACATTCCAGTTCTGACACTGACCAATTCTGTGACCACAGGCAAGTAACTTAACTCCTCTGTGCTTATGCATCCTCATCTGTAAAATGAGGGGAATGAAAGTGCCTACCTTATAGCTCAGAGTGAGGATTAAATGAGTTAATATGCAGACAGCATTTAAGGCATGCCTGGAGCACAGTGTTATTTCTAGAATACTTAACCCTGGACATTTTAACCCAGGCTCCATCTCAGAATTCCCTGGGGAGATTTTTTAAAACCACAAATACCTGGGTTGTATATTCAAGGTTTCTGACTCAGTAGGTCTGGAGAGAAGCCTAGCTTCTACTATTTAAATAAACTATTCAGGAAATTCTTATAAACAATCAGATTTGGAAACTACTGAGGAAGATGCTGAATGAATTAATCAATGGATATTCATTGTCATAGACAGAACTGTGTCCCCCGACCCCCAATTTATATGTTAAAGCTTTAACCTAGTGTGTGTGCATGCTCAACTGCCTTTGTAACCCTATGGACTATAGCTCACCAGGCTTCCCAGTCCATGGAAGTCTCCAGGCAAGAACACTGGAGTGGGTTGCCATGCCCTCCTCCAGGGTATCTTCCTGACCCAGGGATGGAACCTGAGTCTCTTGTGTCTCTTGCATAGGCAGGCAGGTTCTTTATACCACTAGCGCTACTTGGGAAGCCCCTCTAAGGCCCCCAGTGCCCTAGAATGTGACTGTATTTGGAGATAGAGCCTTTAAAGAGGTAGCTAAAATGGGGGCTTCCCCGGTGTCTCAGATGGTAAAGAATCCACCTGCAATGCAGGAGACCTGGATTCAATCCTTGGGTCAGGAAGATATTCTGCAGGAGAAAATGGGAACCCACTCCAGTATTCTTGCCTGGTGAATTCCATACAGTCCACGGGTTCAAAAGAGTCAGACACAACTGAGCAACTAACACACACACATACACACCGCACACATACAAGGTAAAATGAAGGGTGATTACAGTGGGCTCGAATCCCGTTTGATTAGTGTTCTCGTAAAAGAGATTAGGACACACAGACTGACACAAAGACACACGCTCATGGTCAGCTTCCCTGGTGGCTCAGATGGTAAAGAATCTGCCTGCAACGCAACAGACCCAGGTTTGATCCCTGGGCTGGGAAGATCCCCTGGAGAAGGGAATGGCCACCCACTCCAGTATTTTTGCCTGGAGAATCCTATGGACAGAGCAGCCTGGCAGGCTCCAGTCCATAGGGTCCCAAAGAATTGGACATGACTGAGTGACTAACACTTTCACTTCACTTTCGCAGTGGAAAGTGAAGAGAGGCAGCAAGAGGATGGTAATTGAAAGCCAAGGAGAGAGTCTCAGAGGAAACCAGGCTTATTAGCACTCTGATGTTGGACTCCCAGTCTTCAGAGCTGTGAAAAAATAAATTTCTGTTGTTTAAGCCACCCCGCCTGTGGCACTTTGTTACGGTCACTCCAACAGCAAACTCAACTCACCAAGAAGATAAACAGTTGTCTGTGTGGAAACAATTTTAAAAATTCAGAAATTATTTTGGAAGAATTATTTGAAAAATAAAATGGATTGTCATTCTGCTTAATCAGATTTTCACTGTTGCTCAGCTTAGGTTACACCTAAGTTCCTAAGTATTAAATTGCTTAATACTGATCAGAGGGATTGATCATGCTGCATTACAAAGAGTACTTATATGGGGATAGACTTCTTCAGTGAGGGTGATATAAACAGGAAGCTTAAGTGGTGGTGGTGGTTGTTTTTTTTCTTTAATTTTTACAATGTTGTGTTGGTTTCTGCTCTAAAACAATGTAAATCAGCTATAATTACACATATATTCCCTCCCTTTTGAGTCTCCTTCCCTCCCCCTACCCATCCCCCTAGGTCATCACAGAGCAACGGACTGGGCTCCTTGTGTTAAATCTAGTCTTATCACTGTTTGGGGGGAGCCAGGACAATGCTGTGATTTAAATCTGTCTTCACCACTGTATGACCTTTCTGAGCTTCTGGTTCTCACTTCGTAAAAAGGATAATAACAGTGGTGGTGGTGGTGAGAGTTAAATAGTGTAACAGGTGTAAAGCTCCTAGTATACAGATTTTAAAGGAACAATGGTTGTGACTAAAAATGGCACATTTATTTTATCCTTTCTGAATTCTAGAATTCTTCCATCAGGTGGGAAGATGCTACAAAAATAATTTCATTATGGTTAAACATTGTTTTTTATGCTTTCCTTTACAGCTTCTTTATGAGGGGAGGGTAACTGGTGACTATCTTTCTTCTTTCTCTCTTTCTTTTTCTTTTTCTCTCTCCTCCTTTCTCGTCCCCTCGTCTGCTCTCTCTTCTCTTCCCTTCCTCTCTCTCTCTCTCTCTCTCTCTCTCTCTTTCTGTGTCTCATTGATGGCCATGGTCTGATGTCTAAGGCACATCTGGTGTAAGTGCTGAGTGAAGGAGAGTGGGAGGGGCAGGGGGTCAGTGGTGTCCAGTCTGGTTATCCTTGGCTGACCCTGAGCAGACTGAGATCATCTGCAGTCAGACAGGCTTTTCTGGGGCTGCTCCAGAGCAGCGTGACCACACTGGGGGGAAAGTGAACTCTACCTAGATGGGAATGGAGATGGGGAGATCAAGACCTCTTCTCACATCCTGGGTGAGCCTCTGAAGATCACGGGGTGAACCGTATGCTAGATATTTCTGTTTGCCTCTCAGCTCCAGCCTCTGCCCTGCAGATTCCTGCTTTGAAGGCTGACCTCCAACAATGTCATCATCCAGGTCCCCTGCCCTCTGGCTTCCACTGGGTTTGGTCAGTGGGAGAACCTGCAGGAGGGAGGAGAGGAGCCACTTCCCTTTCTGACAGTGACTTTTTTCCTCTACTAAAGGCCTGGGGTCCTGCCCCGTGGCCCTTCTCCTGCACTCCAATTGCAACTACAACACAGTTTCCAGTAAGAGCTTCCTTCCTCACCTCTTGTGAGCTCCGGGTGAAACATTTTCCTGCCTTAGGAGGAGAGTGGGGGTGGAGATTGTCACCATCTCTAGTTGGTTGATTTCAGATGTGTTACTCACTCAGTTGTGTCCAACTCTTTGTGACCTCATGGACTGTAGCCCGCCAGGCTCCTCTGTTCATGGAACTATCCAGGCAAGGATACTGGAGTGGGTAACCATTCCCTTCTCCCAGGGATCTTCCCAACCCAAGGATCAAACTTGGGTTTCCTGCATTGCAGGCAGATTCTTTATCATCTGAGTCACTAAGGAAGCTCTAATTTCAAATAGCCTTTCATTAAACTTTCTTAGTCATCCCTATTTCATGTTTTCCCTTTCATGACTCTGAGTGATATATGCAAATCTATTCTGCTTGCCTCCATTTGATTCCTAAGTCACTAAAACTCATCAATCTTAAAGTTGTTACAAATTTACAGGTGAGTATTCTCTCTCTCTCTCTCTCTCCCACTTTATGAGAACAAATGACCCGATGCACTACATTGCTTGCTAAGGCTGGCACACGTTGCCTTGGTTATCCAGCTTGGACTAGAACCCAGATGACTGGTTTCAGCCTGGTGCTTCTATATTGTTCTGTGCTTCAGAGGCAGTTTGCAAGAAACTTGTCCCACATCTGTCTTAATGACCACTGGACTTGCAGACCTCTCAGTTTTGTTTTCTTAGCGTTCCTATTATGTGCTAAGCTGACCCAGGTGTATTTATCCCATAACCCTCAAGCCCATCTATTATCATTAGCTAAAACTCTGTCCATCTCTCAGATCTCCAGCCACAGCATCAGGCCCACCCCCTCCCAGCTGTCAGGACAGCAGGACCAGGTCCCAGCAGACAGGCAGAGTCGGGGTGATGAGAGCACAGAGGCTGGGGCCAGACTGCCTCTGTGAGAACCTCTGCCCCCTCACCAATCAGCCAGACCTTGGACTCATTAGGAAACTCTCAGTGCGTACATTTTCCTACCTGTAAAATAAACATAACACCTCTTTTCTAAAGATCTGTTGTAACTGTAAATGAGTCAATGCCCTAAGGCTTTTAGAATGGACTTTATATACTATAATAAATTCTATATAATGATTGATTTCTTACTACAAAAAGGTCCTACCCTATATCTTGGGGTTCCCTGATTGCCATGAGCTGATTGGTTGGCCAAGGAGAACTCAGCTAGAAGTATCCTGGAAAGAAGGGAGGTTTGTCTCCTGGAGCTTCTCTGTTTTGCTGGCCCCTTAGGCTCACAGTCCTGGAGCTAGCTCAGCCTGGGGATGACTGGGGAAAAGGGTCCCCAAAGCTGCCATCTGCTCTCCTGTCCCTGAATCTGCCCAGTGGTAGAAGTAAGCTGCCATGAAACATCCACTGCAGATTAGGATGCATCATCTTGA